TGTGTAGGGTCAGTGTGAATATGGAGAAGGAGCTGCAACAGTGAAAGGCTGARAGGGACGGACCAGCCCGTGTGTCTTGTCTACACAATCATCTACACAGAGTTGCTCCTTCTCAAACAGGAATAGGACTCAAAGAGATCATATGCCCATGGTAAAGGTAAATAAATATCACCCAACCTATGATGTTTCTGCACTAGCCTCTGTTATTAGAGATTTGCTTCATGCTAGATAAATCACTGCAAGCAAATTTCAAAACTGATTACAAATTGTTTCTTATATTCTTGATGTTCTGCTCAGAATCAGAAAATCACGTCTGTAGAAGGACTATTAAAATCAAGAGGAATTTCAGCTTAACATGGTGGTGAGCTCCATTCTTATTACCACTGCCATATGTAAGTGACATGGTACTGGCACACAAGCTTTCACAATATTACCATATCTGTTATCAGAGCAGAGTTGGAGTACAGGCTTTACTTATATGAAATATGGAAATAAATCACATACTAACCAATAAGGGGAACATATAATATGGAATGGTCATACACAGTAAGAAACACAGAATACTTTTTTTCCTGTCCCTTTATCAAGTCTTTTCCATCTTTTGCAATACATGAAGCAGGCTCCTGAATGAACTACCCAATCTTAATTCATCTTTAAAATAGGCCATGCTGTACAGAGACTAAAGCAATGACTTCAAGAAAAAAATAGTTATGACTACATAATTAAAGAGTGTATAAAAATGAACATACAGAGAGAACTAAATTATGCTTATACAAGCATCCTAATTCTGGCATTTCTTGCTCCTGGAGTGTTTGATTTTCAAACACCTAACTTTCGTGTCAAAAGACATATAAGCACAATGTTATGATTTAATACATTAAATGTAACCTTCCTATGTTATTTGGTTAAAATAAAGAAATCAGAAATACAAATAGAAACTAAGTTGATCAGTTAAAATGCTTAAAAAGTTTTTTCTCTTTTCTGAAGTGTGCTCTTGCCCTGCAGGGACTCCAGCAAAGCTATACCAGAACTCAACCAGGTGGCAGTGAGAGGGGAACTCTGGGTATCACATTGGCTAGACAGGGTCACATGCAAGTTAGACACGGTCACRTACAAGGAGACCCCAAAAGCACCGGGAAGAGGCTGAGAGCATGTGTGTCAGCAGCTCTTTTATATCCAAAGCCCTTGCTGGTCCTCACCCTCCAGCACCATGTGTTTGGCCTTCGCCTTGACTCCAGGTAACTGACAGCAGTGTCTGACAGACCTCGCTCGGGATGGGACCAGTGCAACCTCTGCCAGGCATCAGTAACTTTTTATTGCAGCAAACGTCTACACATTTTAAAACTAAATTAGAAGTCTGGTAGTTCTTATTCTGCTACTTTTCAGCTTGGGGGAATCTACAGACAACAGTGGAAGTTTTTAAATGCCTTGAAGTCAGAGTACTCTTGTGCTCTTTCTTCATTATATGAGCATTTGCAGTACTTTTTTTACTGGGGTTCTTCATTCAGAGGTCATGGTTGAATCTCACAGAAGCAAATGGGAGCTTTGCCTGAAGACGAAAGTCAAAAGAGCTAGACAGGCTGTTAACTTTTTGTTGATGTTGCTCTAGGATAGCTGAAGCTTGTTTTCTACTGGTAAATATTTCTTGATATTTTTAAAGAAATAATTGAAATATTACAATTTCTTTCAGTTACCTTCTCATTATTTTCCTTTCTCTGCTTGACTAGTGCACTTCAAATTGCCTCATTCAAGACAGGAGGTCATGTTTACAGTATGCTACATGTTTGCTCAACCACTGGCCAAAATAAATATTACTACTCAGAGATCCCGAAAGCTAGAACTTAAAAACTTCTCAAGCTTATATTGAGTATGACAATCACTTGCAAGTAAAACAACGAGACTAATTAAGTATTTCTGAAGAGGGAAACTGATAAGTAGCAGTCTGAGAAGTAGGTTTTTTAGGCATTTTTCCATAGATCCCCATAACAATCAGGGAAAAGAGCAATGTTTTGCACTTCCTTTTTGTTACTGACCTTCTGAGCCATAACTATCCTGCCTTGCTGCGGATGAGTGTCAGCAAAAGCTTTAACCATGCCTCAAGGACAAAAAAAAAGTGTGGTGCCATTTTCTACAACATATGTAAGAGTCTATCATGTCATATAAGGTAAACAGATTTGCATGGCTGTTCACTAATAATCTTTCAGACTTGTCAGTCTCTCCAGAGATGATTATCCCATAGTTCTAAAATTGTCTGAGTCTTTATAGAGCCATTTCACTTTAATAAGGAAAAGCTGTAAAAATGTCATGACCTCTGCCCCCCAAAACTAATTTAAGAAAGGATGAAGCTTRCATGCCTTTTGTAGTAAGATATATCAGCAATCGAAATATGTTGTCTTCACTACATTAGCAAGTCATGATGGAAAAAGAGATGAACATACATATAGAATAAAAGCTGCTCTCAAAACTTCCAAAAGAAAAGCCTTTCTTTTATTTTATTTGGTATGAAGCTATAAATTATACATATAAAAATAAACTATACCCAGCTGGACCATTATTAGGCTGTAATTTTAACCTATCAATTCCTAAAGCCACGCTGTGCAGTATCCTCTCTCATGGTTTACAACCTCAGAGGCATCCCTCTGGTACTCGCCTAAAGGTTATTTTTTATTCTCTATTTAGAACTGATTCAAACCTAGAGCTTTTTTTTTTTTTTTTTTTTTTTTTTTTTTTTCCAAGATTCTACATGCCATTTGAAACACACACACACAAAAAATACACTATGGTATCATTACAAATGTGAATTTGTGCTTATTCACTGATAAAAATACAAATTATAAAAGAGATTCAGTGCAAGTTATGTATAAGTAAATAATAGATTTAAAACAATAAATAATCAATTTTCTAACATATCGACCTCTGTGTAATAGTTGGAGTCTCTGAAAGACCTAGAATATGAGAATAAGATCTATCTATGCTAACATTTGGGTAATTTTCCATTATACATGTATTTCTAGACTCTAGTCTAGAAAGTTAGTACAGAAGATTTGAGAATCTGGGGAAGTTTTGATATATTACATTCAGAAGAAAGACAGCAGAGGTAAGTTCTATGTAATTTGGTTATGCTCTTTGCAGCTAATGAATCAAACTCTTATCTATTTCTTAAGTCCATTTTCTAGGTACTTTTCCTCTCTCCTTTACTAATGCTTTTGGCCCATTGACTAGCAGAAGTGAAAGTGAATATTTCAGTGGGGATTATATCACTAATACTAATAAATAATACCACTAAAGACCAAATAAACATCTCAATTGCATCCAAATATAAGTCTGTACCACAGGGTTCGTTGGAAACATTCTAGATCACATAGCTTTAGATTCAGAAAAAAATCAGCTCCAGATGTAGCACATACTGGTGTTCTTAGCTTAATAAAACACAAGGCTGAAACAGCTGCTTCCCCTCTTACCTTTTCTTCCCACCCCCTTCATCTTCCTCAGACACATCTCATGAGAAGCACCCTGACACTTGCTAATTAAGGAATGCAGGTGGCTGAAACAAGCAGGTAGAAAGAGGATAGACCAGGCTGAATACTACCACACAACAGGTGTTTGATTTGTTATATAGATTAATCCATTTAGCAATACAGAAAGCATTTTAACCCCATAAAACACGTTATATGGAAGTTTCTGAATTTATTGTGATTTTGCTAGACTCTTAATTAGACTGGGCCTGCCTCAAGGTACAAATCCTAGAAAATGTAACATTGTATTACCTGCAGAAAATTCTGTTAATGCCCTCAGGAAATGGAATTATGATTCTTTTGAAGTCTGCATCTTTTGAAGAAACAGAATACATGGGGATGAAAGATCCCAGTCTCTATTTTTTTTTTCCATTCACTTTAGAGGTGAAAGTACTGCTTTGGAGAAAATACTGCTAAGGAAACATCTTTGCCTCATTTATTTTTTTGTATAATTGTATTTAACTTTCTGCATCATAACATCACAACAGCAGTAAATCACAAAGGATCACAAAATTTACAGTTGGGCTAAACTCTCTTTAATTAGGAAAGGCAATTAAATAGCTGAATCAAGAAGAGAATGTAATCTTTTTCAGAAGTGGGATTATCCTTGATGGTCAACTCGCACCACTGTGAGCATAACTCAGCATGGACCACAACATTCAGATCTGGCTAAAACTCATAACTTTAATGAAACAATTTGTTACCACTGCTGATCTTTTATCCCACAATGTGCCAGGCCTCTGGGAGCACCATAGAAAGCAGGAATATTGGTTTGAGATAAAGCATCCATTTATCCTGAATTATGAGAGATTACTACCAAATACCACTTATGTGTTATCACTTAAAGTGACAATAAAAACCTATAAATACATCATTCTTGAAAAAAAAATCTTCTTCATATAGATTTTTACTATATATATGTCTTCAATCATAGCATTCCTAACAGAATCACAAAGTTAAAACAAAACAAAACAAAATAAAAAAAAMCCCAAACCAAACAAAATAATAGATATAGCCAATTAGCGATCTATTCTGGTACCTCAGTTTACATTTTAATCTAATGAAAGACAGTTTCTTTCACAGCTATTATGCTGTAGTATAAGACCCCCTGGAAGGAATTCAACTAAGTAAAAGAAAGCTAAATGGTACAAAAGAAAGACGTGTTTGCTCTTGAGATGACAATCATCTGTATTTATGAAATCACTAATTAGTCTTTCTCATAAAGATGAAATTTGCTTTGCAGAATTACTGAGGGGGAAAATATGTAATTTTCCTTTAAAGGTTATATATCATTTTTGTTGTGGGCATCAGAATATAATTAGAGTTCTAAAAAGGGTTCTAACGCACTCAAAATATTCAAAATTTCCATTGTACTATCCCAATTCTAACTGCATCAAGAGGATGAGTAAAACAGGAGTCTTTGCCTTTGAACTGGGGTATGTTAACACAGCACTGATGGCTTAAATGTATCAGATGGTAAATTACCTTTGAAAGGTCCCCAGCCTCCAAATAGAAGCAGATAACAAACACGTTCCATGTAACCCAGAGGACTAGCCAGATAGCATACTGTAGGAGAGGAAGAGAGAAACAATGCATTATTAATTTTGCAATCAGCTGAGTTGAACTTACTTAATTAGACCATCAGTTTAATCCAAGACAGAAACAGACTATAAATATGGTACATACGAATCTTACATAAAAAAGAAAATCAAGAAAAATATTTTTCCCTTTCACAGGCACAAACTAGTATGACTTGCTAAGTGCTCAATCACACCAGAAAATCTACTGCTGAGAAAACAGAGAACAGACCTGAAATTAATCTAGATCTCTCATTACTGCTCACATGGATAACACTGCAATATCAAGAGAGATACATAATGTTAATTATACGTGAGAAATGTAGAGCTGTTTATTGAAATGGTTATTCTATTATAACTTATTAAATAACAAACTTATTGGAGTAGGTACTGGACTCTGCAACACTTGGGATTTAATCTCAGAAATATACTTTTAGTTAATTATTTTACATTTTTCCTAGAAAATATGGATGGTTTTCCCTAGGTCATGACAGCTGCCTCTGTAATATATTAGTGACATTCCAGAGCATCATCCAAAATTATTGAACACCCTGAGAGCTAGATTGTATTTTAAATCACCATTTTCTTTGAGTTTTTGTTTTTTTAATTATTGCGTATAACAGAAGTATTCACGCTTAAGCAATATCTGTTCACTGGTGTTTGTCTAATTTCTTATTTGCATATCTGATGTGAGTAATGACATACATTTGTTTTCCCTCCTTCTGTCCACATATATGCCTATAGCTACTCTTTTGTATTCATGAGACCTTAAGTCCCAGGCCTCAAAACTATGTTTCCCTGTTGTAATGCTGGAGGATCCTCTACAATAAAATCTGACCAACTGCTGTTGCTAGTCTTGCATAATGTCTATGCTTAAAAACTTCCCTTGACAAATTATTCCATCATCTAATAAAGCTTAGAATCTACAAATGCTTTCTAATGACTGTTGTTGCTATTCTTTAGCTGTTCATAATTCAATTCTGTATGTGTTCTAATTTCATTGCATAGGCCCATGACACTGTACCTCCATGAAACAAAGGGAAAAAAAAAAACAATATTCCCTACCTATTTTACACCTATTTTGCTGAAGACTATTATTTCCTCATTTTCCTCATTGTATATCACCAACACCCTTTGAATCAAGCATTTATAGATTATTTCTTGTTTTGTTGCCTTGTCTTCAAGTTGTAATGACCTAATTCTGTTAGATTTCCTTTCTAAATCATGTTTAACTTATTAAAAGTACTTTTTTCTTTCTTTTTTTTTTTTTTTTTTGGCATTTCTCTGTATTTATATCATCATCTTAATAAGGGAACAGAATCACAGAATGGTTATGGTTGGAAGGGACCTCTATAGATCATCTAATCTAACCATGTACAGGTCCATGTCCAGAAGACTTCTGAATATCTTCAAGGAAGGAAGGAGACTCCACAACCTCCATGGACAGCCATCCTCAGTCACCTTCACAGTAAAAAATTCCTTTTCCTTTAGATTCAGACAGAACTTGCTGTTTTTCAGTGTGTGCCCACTGCCTCTTGTCTTGTTATCAGGCAGCACCGAGAAGAGTCTGGCGTCATCCTCTTTACATCCTCCCACCAGACACTTATACACGTTTATAGCATCCCCCTGAGTCTTCTGCTCTCCAGGCTGAACAGGCCCAGCTCCCTCAGCTTCTCTTTGTGTGCGAGATGCACCAGACCCTTAATCACCTTAATGGTTCTTTGTTGGACTTGCTCTAGTAGCTCCGTATCTCATCTGTGTTGGTGAGCACAGAACTGGACATGGCACTCCAGTTGTGACCTCACCAGGCCACATAGTAACCCCATGTAACATGGGTAAAATTCAGGCCTATTCCTTTTTATTTTATTTTAATTTATTTTTTTGTAGTTCATCAACTTATTGTCAGGCAGCCTGACTGCAACACACCCAACATACTGTTATGTACACAACATATAGATTTTAACGAATTATGATGAATATTGCTATTATCTGATAGTAACCAATTCATTTTTTTAAGGTTCAAATTGGTTTGTCCAGAAGTAATATTAGGTAGTGTAAAGCATACAGATCCTGGACCATAGATCAGGCCTACAGGTGAAAGATTTACCTAGACTGGAAGGGACCTCTGGAGGTCACTGGTGCTATTCTCTGCTCAAAGCAGGGCCAACATAGTTCAGATTGCACAGGAAATTGTCCATTTGACTTCTGAATATACCCAGGAATGCAGATTTCACAGACTTCTTAATGCATATCTACTCTTTAAAGACAGGGCACTAGTTAGCCTTCAAAACACAAAAACTTAGTTCAGGTTCGCAGTCTTAACTCACACTGTTTCTAAAAGCCCAAACTTGAGCCACTAAGTATATCTAATATTGCAGTTTTCCTCTGGCTTGCTATTCATAGTACATCTGATTTTGCATGCAACACAGTGTCAGAAATATGAAGATAGAAACATTAATTTGGAGCCAATAGCCTTAATTAGATATTTGCAAACTTTTCAGTATTTGAACTTTACCTTTTTTTAGGCACCGATGGAGTAAATACAAGTATTTCTTCTGATACACAAGAGTCTTTCTTATAAATGAAAATTCTAAGCACTACATTTAGATTATTTAGATCAGGGTACCAAAGAAATGAGACTTAAGTAGAAATGATCCATCTGTGCTGTCTGTGTCCTTGATATAACTTCTGAGCTCCTGAACAATTCTTACCAAATAGGACGAAAGCTCAGAAGTTTTAAAGATATTATTTATCAAAAATTTTAGGAAAAATAGGTGTACAAATGCGGAGAGAAGCTCTATCTCCCTAGAGAGAAAGGCTTGTTAAGTTCATCTTCTATCAGTCAACACATGGCGGGAATAAAACATGGGAAAGAGCCACTGGAAACTAGCTTCATTAGATGGTGCAACTTGCTACATTGCATGTAAGCAAGAGCTGATTAAAAAGCTCCCTATGCACTGCACATCCAGTAGAACACACCAAGACACTTTAGAGCTGCTTGTCCCAGCAGCAAGTCTTATGTTCACAGGAAGAAATGAAACTTCTCTGTTCAGCTGTATAGACTATCACTGAAAAATTACAAAATTATTTCACTTCTAGAAATACTCTTTTAATGAGCATCTGCTGTTACTGGACCTCAGAAAGCATTTAAAAATGTGTTTTAAAGCTGCTTCTTTTGAAATTTTATATTAAGTGTTGCTGTCTCAATTCTGTGGATAAACATTGTATATAATTATCTTGAAAAATAAGGATGCTTCTGCTTCCCACTGTTTCTTATTTTAGATGCTTCAGATCTAGCATATCTCTTATCTCTGGATCACATGCAGTCATAAATGCCTCTTCTTGTCTATGTGCTTCAGCAAATGGTTGTGGAAATTCATCTCTGAAAGTCTGCGACAATGAATAAATCCCTCTGGTACTCTCTATTATATGTATCTAATTAGAAACACATTTTATAAGAGTTCTTCAAAGGGGTATAGCTGTATATTTTTCTCCTTGAGCTTATGTGGAAGCTCAAGTTTGCTGCATCATTTGACAGAAGCCATTACAAAACTATAGAAGTCACGTATTAACAAGACAAGAACCTTGATGAACACACACTTGACCAAGCAGGAGCTACTGACAGGAGAAAATGATTACAGCAATGACAACACAGACTTATTATCTTCATGGAAAGCCACGCTGGAAAGAGACATAGCTAAAAGTCTAAGTGAGGATATTTGAATACTTATAGTTTTGCAAAGCTGTAAGTTTACTGATTTGCCAATCAGTAAAAGCCATTTTCTTTCATAAATAAMTCATACAAAGAAATATGTTTGCCACTTTTTAGGCTACTGTATTTTTATAATCATCTATAAAAAAAATGAGAGAATGATCTGCTACCTATTTCAGAAGGCATATACCCCCCAATTCACCCAAATCCAGATAAATTGCATTATCTCCATTTTACTAAGCGGAAAACTGCACGTCAAAGAAATTAAATTACTAGATTTAACTCCACAACCCAATGAAACAAATGACCACAAAAAACAATGTCTATGTAGCCCACTACACTGTCTTTGATGCAAAGCTGGTCACCAGAACTCATGCCTCTTACCCTTATCCCTTAATCTGAAGGAAAAATATGTCACATATTTTCCAAGGATAGGCACTGGTAGAAACTCCCTTATTTATGAGCATTTTAAATGTAAATATTTTTTCATAGATTTTTTTTCATGGTATTGATCCCTATTTATCTTAGGTTATGTGGTCACTTCCAATAACATTTTACAGAAGGGTATAGTGCTTAAGACCTAGAAATTGCCACTTTGTGCATTCAAGAGGAAAGTAAGATGAATCCTATTGTGATTAATGATTTGTTACTTATTTCCTTTTCACCAGTGTATACATTTTAAGTTTTAAATTATTTTAAATTAAGCTGAAAACAAACTATGTGCAATTCTATAATGAGATGCCATTTACCATACGAGTTAAAAAATTGTTGGTTTGTACTACCTGAGTGACACTAGTTGAGATTTTCAGATTACCCTTAGCCCAGTATGTCTGGAAAGAGGTGTTTCTTTTCAGTAACACAGCTCACAATTATCATTATTTTCTTCTGAAGTTACTCTTCCCCAGTTTCCTCTGTCAAAGAAGATTCCTCACTCAGAAATACATTTTCCAGAACTTAAGTTTTCCCATCAAACCTGAAAACATCTGAATTCCATACACTTGGCACTACCACACTGAATAAACTTGTTGATAACATTCAGCTAATCTCTGAGATGCCGGCAACTCTTTTCACCTTTGGAAGGCCCTTCTGAAACAGAAGGAATTAGTGCTCTGGTGGGACAGCTGTTCCTGCTCCTGAAGAGGTGGGACTGCATGTGGCTGCCTCCTCTCCATTGCCTGTGGCTTTTCTGCATGTGCTGATGTAGGAGTTGAGGATCGGGGCTGTGTGATGTAGTGGTTATAGCACAGTTTTGGGAACCAGCGATGAGACATGGCCCA